ACGAAGCCTTAAGGTTAATGTTTCAATTAATAACACAGAGAAGAGATGCACGAACCTCTAGTCGTCGGTTGCACTCCGCTCGCCAAGCAAAGACCACCGAATCTATTATTGAAAATTTGATTAAGTTCTAGTGTAGCGGTCGCGTTGTTTGTTATTTCAACGCCGGCTGCCAGTCCATCGAAGATCCGATTTCTCCTCAATACAGGATGAGACTGCGTAGAAATAAGCACTCCTGCTTGCGCGTTACGAAATATATCATTTTCTTCAAGCACACCTGCCGCAGCGTACAAACAAGAACACAATTGGCACGTTTGAAAAAAATCAACGATTCGGAATAGGAGGAGAGACACTCACCTTTACCACCATTAAATATACAAATACCACCGTCCCGTCCGTCGAATATTTTGTTCCTTTTTAACGTAGGGTTGCTATCAGTTTTAATCCAAACTCCTGCCATCGCGTTATCAAAAATCTCATTTTGTTCGAGTAAACCGAATCCGCTATTATACACAAGAACACCGCCGTTCTGTCCGCCCCATATCTTATTCCCACGTATCACTGGATTGCTTCCAGTCCTGGACAGAAAGTTAGCGTGAACCATCGAGCACTGAATGCATCTCTCCTAAAGTTAGACGACTCGATGTCTAGTGGAACAACACATAGTTTCATCATTTCAGAAAATTAACAACTAATTTCTAAACCTAACCATCGAGTGATCTCCTTTAGGCGTTAGCTATAAATACACCTTACCTTATTTGTACTCCCGAATACAAATGATTGAAAATATCATTGTCCTCTAGTTTACCGTGTCCGTTGTCATAAAAATAAACTCCGACCTGTTTCCCGCTATGAATACGATTCCTTCTAAGTACCGGCGTGGACCCGGTGGTTATCCAGACACCTGCCAAAGTATTGGCATAGACCTCGTTCTCCTCGATTAAGCCTTGTCCTTTCTCGTGCACGTATATGCCGCCGTGCTGTCCGTGATGTATCTTGTTGTGTCGGACGATGGGGTCCGAGTTCGTTCTGATTTGGATGCCGGCTAAAGCGTTGCCGTAAATATTATTATGCTCTATCAGACCTCGTCCCTCGCCGAATATGTATACGCCCCCTTGGTGGCCGTTGTAGATTTCGTTTCTGCGGATCGTCGGGTTCGAGTTGGAGGTGATCCAAACGCCGGCGAAATTATTCGAATGGATCTTGTTGTCGATAAATTGACCTAAACCGTTCTCGTGCACGTAAATCCCGCCCGTCTGGCCGTGGTGGATCTCGCAATGCACCACCGTCGGATTAGCACCAGCTTTCACCTCGAAACCCGCCAGTCGATTATTATGAATGTCGTTCGCCTCGAAGTACCCGAGACCGTTGTCGAACGTGAATATACTGACGTCCCTTCCGTGGTGAATGTGATTCCTCCGCATGATGGGGTTCGCGTAATTTTTCACCCAAATCCCGGCCAACGCGTTTCTGGAGATCTCATTGTCCTCGTAAGTCCCTTGCGCGTAGTCGGTGACATAGAGTCCGACGTTCTCGCAATCCGATATGTCACAATTTTTCACCACGGGATTCGCTCCTACGCCCGACACACAAACAGCTGCTCCGACTGTCGAAAATGCAAATGTTCTGTGTGACTTTCATGTATGTATGTGTATATATATATATATATATATATATATA